CCCCCCCCCCCCCGAAGTAAATCTTTACCAAGAATAGATTTAAAGCAGACTCAGTTAATAAAGAGAAAGCATGTCTGTCTTTGTGGGATTCGGTATCTATTGTGTTTGTTTAATTACATATTATTATTGTTTTTCATTCTTTGGTTTACTTTCCTTAAGAAAAATTAATATGATGAAGAGTATTATACTGGGTTTAAGAGCTCAGTATTTGGTCAATAAATTGCTGGTTAGAAGAGAATGGAATCATCTTCATGCATGCACAGACTTTCTTTTCAAACACTCATTACTGGCTGAGGAGAATGTTACATACTTCTGTGATGGCTTTCCAGATTTTAGGAGAAGAACTGTAAGATGCATATGTCTTAATACAGTAAACTGCAGGTCTTATTCTGACCTCAGAGGTGTGATCAGGAGTCTAAGTTTGGAATTTAATTGTTCTAGGTCTCTGGCAAATAGAACTTCCAAACACTCCAAATCCTGTTTTCTGTAATGAAATGTGCAGTTTCAGCAAGCGTCATATTAAAAAAAAAAAGTAATCAGAAAAGATCTCTAGAACAATTAGGCATAAGTAATTGTTGCAGTTGCATGCACAAGTTAACTGACTTTTGTAATGACTTCTTATGCAACATTGGTTCCTTTGCACCTTTCTAGTTTGTGTGCCTGACAGAATTCAGTGCATAGCCTTCAATTTCAAAAGCTCTTCCTACAGTCACAAACCACCATGTAAATTATAATCTGCCACTGAAAAATTTAGTGGCAGTTCCTTTCTTTTTCTCTCCCTTGACTTGCTTTGCACAGAAGAAACAAACTTCTTTTGTTTGCTTTTTGGTTCAGCTATAACCTGCTTCTACAAATGTAGATCCTCCGGATCTTAATGTTGTAATTTTCCTAGTGGTTGTTGCAAACAAGATAATCATAAAGTTAGTATTATCATAGCTAGAGATATGAAATGTTCAATAGTTAATCACATTCTGATGTGGAAAGCAAACATGGTCCCATAGAAATAAATAAATTGTAAATTTTTGCTAAGTTAATATACTAAGAATGAAGACAGGCAAGTATTATGTATTCCCTCCCACTACTCATTTTGCTTTGAAATACATACCAAAGAACATGTGAACCATGCTGGAGATACGTGCTTGCATACTATGGCACTGAGCAATACAGAAAACTTTAGAATGTGTAACAGCTTATGACACAGAAGATAATTGTGAGCTACCTGTCTCTTTCCTTCCTAGATGGTACTGAACCCTCCCACATGCACTATGCAAATGATGAGAACTACTTCCGGGGCTATGAATGGTGGCTGATGAAAGAAGCTAAAAAGAGGAACCCCAAAATTAAACTGATTGGTAAATTGCTTCAAGCTTTAGGATTTAAATGCTTTTCCTTCCGCTGACTAAATTACATATCTGACTCTTAATTAGCACGTTCATTTTAATGGGCATATGTTTTCATGTCCCAGTAGGCAAAGTACAATATCTAATATTTGGTAAGCTTGCCTTGATGCTTCACTTAAACTTACTTAGTTTAGGTTGTTACAGTAGCACAACACTCTTACATTGTGCTATTTAACAAGTAGCATAATAAGAATGTATGTAGCAAGTAGCATGGGATAAGAAATTAATAATTTGCTTGTATCGAGGAACATTAATGCTCAGACTGTATCACAGCAATGACTATAAATGATCATGAGAGGCTGAGTTTCTGAAGTAGAGTAAAAAATTTGGGAGGGATAAAGTAAACTTACAGGAAGTATAAATCTGTAAATCTTATATGCAGTAAATTCAATTGTATGTTCTTATTACAAACCTATCATCCCCTCCCCCCTATAGTGGTTCTTTTCTTATCTCTGATATACGTAGTTGAGTTGTGGGAGGACTTTTCCATCTCCCTGTTTTGATTGTGGACTGTGTGTGTGCTGTGACAGTACAAATGTGGAACCCTAGATTTTAATTGAAACACTTTACAAAATATATTTTACATGAAACAAGGTAAGAATCTATCAAAGTTTCTAATGCCCCCTCTTCTAGGGATCAGGCTTTGTCATATCCAGCCACAAGGCATGACTTGGTGCAGAATTTGCTAGTCAGGTTCTGTTAGACAGGCACTGTGACAAGCAGTATGCTTGCCATGTATGACTAATGGTGGTTTTTAATAACCTCCCTGTTCCTTCAGATCAAGCTCTCAACAAAGGAAGGAGGGTTTGCCATTGAATTAGCCTATGGTGTCTTATTCAGAGTCAGGTGGAATCTTAGCAGGATCTGGTCAGCTTAATTTGTTGGTTTTATTTACTCAAGATCCAGTAAAGAGCTGAGACTCAAAAAAGCTTTCACATGATCCTAATCTTTCTTTATTATGATTGGATCATCACTACTTCTGAAATTCATATTCAGAAGATTAACAATTTCTGGTGTTCAGTATTGATCATATGTCTCTAACTTTGTAATTTTTTATCCTAAAATCTTTGGAATTTTAAACCTGTTAGAGATAGTCACACAATTTAAGGATTGTATGTAGTCAGTTGCTGTCTAGTACTGAAGGTTTTCTAGCCAAAACAAAAAGGCAGCTATAATAAGTTATGTTTCATTATCTTCACTGGAACTTTGTGAATCCGAAGTGCATATCTGCTCCTTCATTTCAGGAAGAACAAATTACATCTTGCTGTTGAAGCTTACTGACTAATATAGACCAACCACTTACCTTATTAATTTGTTTTTCTTCTCTCTTTGTAGGATTACCTTGGACGTTTCCAGCATGGATAGGAAAGGGTGAAAACTGGCCCTATGACTATCCAGATGTCACTGCTTACTATATTGTTTCTTGGATATTGGGAGCTAAACAATATCATGATTTGGACATTGATTACGTTGGGGTCAGTAAAACGAAATCTCCTGTGTATTTTATTTATCTTCATTCTAAGATCTTGGTCTTGTTTCTCATTGTCAGTTACTGGAGGAGCGGTATGAGAAAATAAATTGTTTTGTATTTGCAGTTCTGGCTTTTTCTATTGCGAGGGGAAAGGCAGAAGTTATGTTAGTTTATAGTCTTTCTGCATTAATGGCCATTAAAGCAGAACCAGTGTAAAATGGCTAGTCTCCTGCCTTTCCATTTCTAGAACAAAGTTAGCACAGAATTTGAGAGTTCTGAAATGTGTTCAAGTCTTGGATTTTCATTTTCTCATTGTTTTGCTCGGGTTTCAGCAGTTACCAGCTAATAAAAAGCATTAGTTAAGACAGAGTTTGTGAAAGTCAGCTAACATAATGACATAAAATATGCAGAAGGCCAATCCTCTACAACTTCTTCCATTTTTGCCTGCATTATTTATAGTAGGTAAAGGTGCGTGTGTTACAGTACATTATAACTAATGTATTGTGTTACTGTGCAATATATGGAAGTAGTGAATGTATGTCTGAGAAAAATGGCGTAACTTGGAGATGAGAGTGAGAGAAGCAGACAATCTGGAAAAACACTTTTAGAGTTAATTATTTGGCTGAGGTTCAACTTTTTTTTTTTCTTCTGATTAAAAGTGATTTGATTTACACTTATTAAGTGTTTTGATAGGAGACAGTTTAACTGCAGAAAAGCTGAAAATCACTTCAGCAGTTCAGAGCAAAGCTTGAAGTCTGACCTTTCTGCTGTAATGTGGGAAGGTATATCTGATATATATCCACTCTGGAATGCATCCCCCTTTATGCTGCTGACTTATTTCAGCTGTGTCAGTCTTATACTTTGGGTAACACAGTGATGCTTTAGCAGTTCAGTTGAGGGGGGGGTAGGACAGCTTGCTCTGCTCTTAGAGTAGGAAGTAAGTTCTGCGCATGATGTATTTGTGTAATATCTGGCTTCTGAGTTGTTACTTCACAGACATTGGCCTTATAAATTCTGTACTTCTAAGAAAAGAAAATTTCTGCTTCTACAGGCAATGTGGTAACATTGCATATTGTCTGTCTTCTTTGTGGATATAATCTGACATATAGGAAGACTGAGGTCTGTGAAGGCTCAGAAACTGTCAAAACAATTTTAATGCTGTTCTGATTCTACATTGTTAGCTTTTACTGCTCTTTAGGTTTATAACGTGTTACATATTATTATTTGCTTGATGATGAAACGAGCCTTTTGTTAAGTAACTTTTTGATTGGCTCATTTCTGAAGTTGCCTGTTAGTACTTACAGAAAGATTTAGGAATATCAAAGTCAAATGGACATATCTTAACTGCAGGAAACTGCTTGTACGTGGTTGGGTAATCTACATCTGCAGTGGGATACTTTCACCTTTACCGGTGAATGTGAGTCACAGTGTTCATGCGGTTTGAAGAAAAGAAAGTAAAAAGGGTTCTGACTCTGAATTTTATTGGCCAGGGTATTTGATAGAATGGAAGACCACCATTCCCACTTTTGAATCTTGAGCAGTGTTAAGCTTAAACACTCTTTCTATAAAAGATGAAAATCCAGAGCAACAGAAATGACATCATTCTGTGTCTGTTTACCTAAACTATGCTGGACATCTCCTCTGTTCAGGTATGAATATAGTCCTCTGTAAATTATAAAGGACTGTAAATGTCATTGAATAACTCCCTGAAACTGTAGGCAGTTGTTTGATGTATAACTTTAGCTCTCCTTGTGTCAGTGCGTGGCAACAGGGTCCATTCATTAGGACTACACCTTGAGGCCACAGTGTGTTTGTCAGTGATTGCTAACAAACTGCAGAGCCATTGGTAAGAATGTCATGTGTAACACGGCTACCATTGTAGAGCTCAAGCAGCAATAGACTTCCTTTCAGCAAGAAGGCAATCACTTGACCTTAGAGATAGATAAACAAACAGCTATTTTGAAGTTTCATACAGAATTTTTCCCTGAAGAGCTGATAACAAAACCAACCAGAGCACTTTGCTCTAGCAAACTGAAACCATGGAGTTCATTAATGGGTTGTATAATCTTGCATGTACATAAATAAAATCTTTCATTATGCATCAACATATCCCAATTTTTCTAAATGGCTTTTTTCTTTTCCTTCATAGATATGGAATGAAAGGGCATTTAGTAGCAAATATATTAAGGTATGCATTTTTTTCTTATTTTGCTAAAGTTTGTTATTATATGTAAACAATTTGCTTTTCTGAATTTGCCTAGGAAAGGGACCCTAATCCTGCAACTACTTTACTTACTAAACTCTGTTTCTTGTAGTTGCAGGCATGGCATGGTAACAGGATCAGATCTCTAGATCTTTTTTTTTGTGTGTTTAAAACTTATTTTGAACTGTGTGTCAGTGTATGCTGAATGTTTAGGACCTCTATGTTGTAATGGAAGCTCCAGTTGATGATGCTATTGAAATCATACAAATTCATCATCTTGATACTGGCTTGGATATAGTTATAAGTCCAAGATCTAGAATTACTTAAAACTCTGTAGCAAAGTTCCAGTGGGTATAATATCCTTAAATGATTGCTATAAGACTCAAGGTTCTTATTTTATGGTAAATGTAATAAAGGTTCTGTGTTTCTAGCTGTGCAAAATTCAGTACCTCCTGTCCTAAAAGAGTTGGAGGAACACAGTATTTCATAGAACCAACCTTGCCATATCTAATATCTCTCACTGCTCCCTGCCCCTGCTGTCCTCTGAAAGCTCGCTTCTGTTTGTTACATTGAAGTGAAATCTTAAGTACAAGCTTCCGCTTTGTTCATTTCCATGTTCTGCTTTGAGGCAAAGAAACAATAGCATTACCTCTTCAAAGCAAATGAGAGTTAAATTGAGTGTGTAGAAAAACTTTTTTTTTTTTTTTCATAACTCAGCAGGGATTGGATCCATCCGCTTAAAATGAATCAATTAGTGGCTATTAGAAAAGTTTCAGTTCTTACACTTTGTGTACACTGGATGAGGTTAGTCACATAATTTGTGCTTGACATCTTCTGTAGTTACTTTGTTTAATGATTAGTTTTAGTAGAATGATACAGGAAATGGCATACAACAGTTAAAATTGACATTGCAATAAGAACAAAAAAAGTATCTTTCAGTATGTTTCATGAGGTTAGCATATATAAAATTCTGCCTGCTCTTGAAAACTGAGAATTGTCTCCTGTAAAAACATTTCTTTTAAAAGTTAGATTTCCTACAATGTAGAATTAGGTGAATACTCATATACCTGTTTCCTGTGATTTATGCAGTGCTTTGACTGAGGGAGGGCAAGAAGCTCTGTGCTGGTGTGATACACCTTGTAAGAAGAAAGAGGAATACCTTATATCCAGCTGTATGGGTTTCTTGTTAACAAATATGTTAATCAACCATTTATTTTAAACTGATTTACTGGTTTCACTGTCACTCACATCTTAGACCAAATTCTGTTATGTATACTTTACTCCACAATTAATTTCATTAAAGGTATATTCTAGATTCTGACTTACATGGGCTACTAGGCCATTAGCTCCTTTTGGACACAGAGGTTTGGCACTAGAGTTTTCGAGTGATTTACAAAATCCCTTCCCGAGAAAACAAAAATACCCTGAAGTGTGACACAGCAGGATATCTTGGCATCTACATCAGGGTGTCTTGTTTCTTTGGGCATGTTAAGTAAAAGAACTCGGGTGGATGTGTAGATGCTTCATATTTTGCTAGTGAAGCTACTTACATCTCTGTTTAAACTTGTTTAGTGGGTATGCTTAGAGTCCTCTTAAAATATCCCGTCCCATTGTGTGTTCACAAACTGTAGTGTAACTTTTTTTTTTTTTTAAAGCTAGGAGACAAGTTCATAGGGTGCTTTATTTATTACAAAAAACCCTCAGGGACTAGAAGTTTTCTGTTATATTTACCCTTGGGCAATGTAGGTTCCAGGCTTTTGTTTTTCAAAAGGAAAACTGATTCACTAATTTGGTATAGGCTAATCACTAAGGATACTAGTAGTATCCTAAAGGATAATCCCAATCACAGGTAAATTATGGTGCTAGGGGAGTAGGGGGAAATGTATGTGTGGACTTCAACTAGAAATCTCTAGTTGTTCAGTGTATGTGTTGTAGAAGCAAAACCAAACAGAACTGAAAACACTTGTTTGCAGGCTGGAATAAAACAATGCAAGTAAGATGGAAGATAAATAGTGAGACTCTTTTTAAGTTCAGCTGCAAGGTTCATTTCTTCACTGACTAGATGTTGCTTGGAATGACTGTGAGACTGGACACTTTGTAAAAAAGAATCATCAGAGGAGGCATATCTTACTATAAATAAAATACTCATTTTATTTCCCTGTATCACTAATTTGCTCTTTTTTAGAACGTTTTTTCTGTCTTTCTTTAGGTTTTGTAAGAAATGGAAATGTTCTATTTTTCTCAGTTCTGTGTCATGTCACCTGAAGGCTTTCTTGTCTGTTTGTCTTGGCTTCCTAATATGGGGAGAACAAATGTGTAGAACAAACTGTCGAGTTTATTTACAGTCTGCCATTTTTTAAAAGGTTTATTTAATGAAGTATGCTGTTGCACACCAAGTATTTTCTGTAATGTCTGACAAATACATGACATTGATAAGCTCTTGGTTATCTTGCCAAATTTTTACTTGTAAGAAGTTACTTTAGTTACTTCATCCACTAAGGCACTAGTTATGTTTCTTAATAAGTAGAAAAAAATGCTAAAAGAAATGATGATTCTGTTGCTTATAAATTCTTACTCAAGAAGATCATATTCTTCCAATTATATTTTAAAATACCATCATCTTAAACTAATGCTAAAATTTAAGGAGTATCTGTATATAAACACAAATACTGGATGTGGGGGAGCCGTTCTGCATATGTTGTTATGGAACAAATTTTGAGGGTCTACAGTTTAGTGTCCTTGATACTTATTTTCGCAACCTTTGTAGTAATTTTCTTCTCCTGAACTCTCTCTGTGGTTAGGCAGTTTTTCTGAATGTCTAGGTAGCTAGAAAGATTTAAAGTAAGTATTTCTACCATTAGGAATTTTTCTTCTGGTAAACTTTATGCTTCAAAGACTTCAAGCAGCTTCAACAGAACATCATCGCTACTTTTCTTGATTTTAGTAAGTTTTCTGTCCTTTAGATCTACACCAACACTTGGACATTGCTTTGTATCCTTATTTGACTACACGTCAAAATAGAAATGCTTCTTAATCTTCACTTTGCTGGAGGGCTATTACAAGAAGTTATTTAAGGATTCATGCCTACTGATCTTCAAATGGTTAAAAAAATCTCTTATGCATGCATGCCTAAATACAGCACATGGTACATAATTTCTTTATATCCAAGGTTGGAAAAAGGGATTTTAAACTGTGGACTGGTGTCCTTTTTCAGATGCAACTTGTATGTGGAAGCTGCTGAAAATACTTTTTAAAATTTGTTTTTCTTATTGAGCATTCAGATAAAACATGCTTGTATAAACTGGCCCTGTATAAGCCTGGTTCATGCTTAACTATTAGAACTGGATATATTTGTCTAGGAAATTCTAGAGGTAGATGTGGGAGGTTTATCATCTTTGACAGGGAAATATTATGGAGAAGCTGGAAAGACAGAATAGGAATTCTCTTCTGCTGGCTTGTTTGAATTCAAAGTTGACTGCCCTCAGTTTTGTTTTTTAATATGCAATTCCAGTTCTATTCATTACATTCCTGAAAATTAGTGAGACATATGAGAGCCAAATACTGGGTAAACTTAAATATCAGACACAACATCTTTTTTTTTTTGTAAAATAGCCTATGAAAAGAATGCTTAGGTGCTCTTCACTTAAAAAGGATGGATGTTAAGCAAAGATTTCTGTTCTTGTGGAGAACTTCACAGTTACAAGGTCTTTTGTATTTGAAAACTTCAATCCCTGTTTTCTCAATATACTTGTTTTGGGTTCAGGTTTACTTTCACCTCTGATCACTTGTGGAGGTACATCCACTTCCACATTCCAGCCAGTCATTTTTTTTAGATCAACTTAGTGTGGCTGACTTAATGATAAATCCGTTACTCACATGTAATGAATTACATGCATGCAATGGATGGAATCAGTATGTTCAGAGTGTCTGAGTGGAGTATATGTATGCACATGGGTTGTCAAAAGTAATCTAAGTGATAAGAAGTTCATTTTTCTGTAATGGCTATCAATGTAAAAACAGTTATCGTTAACTTTGTCTTCGTTGTCATTATGGCTCTTCTTTGAGAACTTTTCATATCCATCTTGGTCTGAAGACAAATGCTTTCACTGATGACTTCTACAGTTCTTAAATTGTTTTCAGTCTTAAATTTTCATGTTGCCCAATTGATGAAGGCTGTGCTTTAAGTGGTGTTATCTGTTGCTAAGGTACTTCGACAATCTTTGGACAGACTGGGTCTAAGGAACATTGGCATCATCGCTGCAGATGGAGATTGGAACATTTCAAAGGAGATGATAGTTGATCCCTATCTTAACGATGCTGTTGAGGTAGTTGGGTAAGTGTGGGAGAATGGAGGAGTTTTATACATTGCTTATTGCTTCTGTAAGTCAGTCTTCATCTCATTTTGAGAAGTCATATATTCTTATTTCATGCTTTCTAGTTATTCCCAGTTCTTTCATCATCATGTACAGTGGTGAGTGATATCATCTTTCCTGTCTTCCTCTCTTCCTTCAGTTTAGTACATGTGTAATGTAACTTTACCAGTCTTCCATCATTTATTTCAAGTGTTCAGTTAGGAGATATCTTTTCATCTTCTTATCTTAGCACTAGCAAATGACAGGAGGTTTCTAGCTAAGCTGCATATGTATCTTAAAGGCAAAAAACCTTAGGACTGAATTCTTGGTCTGCAGTCAGTTTTAATTTCAGGGGAATTTGAACTTTCATACTAGAATTTACCAGCTTGGGACTCCCTATGCTCATGTTATTCCCTGTTACGTGTCCTTTGCTTGAGATTTTTCTGGTCATGTCCTAAAGCTAGGAGTTTGTTGCTTATATCTGATTACAGATAGCATTAGAGGTGAACAGACATACAGTAAAGTGTCCAAAATTTATTTTTAAACTAGTACAACCTATCTCAATTTTAGCAGCTAGGAATGCCCACTGTTATAGTTCTAGCGAATGGCAACTTGATTGTTTGTCTGCGCTCTTGCTCCATAATACACTTTCTTACTATCTTGCTTCTGTTAACTGGCTTGATACTTATTCTGCTGCTCTTGCTTTCTTCCTAATCTCCTATTTCTCAAAACTGTAGAGGGGTTTTTAAAAATTATGGTATGTTCCCAGTGGAAATGTTCTATACGTGTATAAATTGTTTAGTTGTGTTATGCGTGTTAACTTGCTTAACTCTGTTGTAAACCTTAATGTGATAAGAACATACTTGTGGTCACTGGTGTACTGTTTATCCTCATCTGTATGTAAGGGCATGTGATATGCTTATAATTGTTTAAACTAATGCATGGTTCAAAGGTAATAGCAGGCCAGTTAAGTGGGGATTTTATAAAGAAACTGCTTTCGTGTATGTTGAGTTTGTAAAGACTGATACCTGGAAGTGGCTGCCTGAGAAACACCAATTATAATGCCAACATTGAGTAACTCATTTGGTTTAAAAACTTAACTTCTTAAGTTAGGCAAGACTTGCACCTCAGCAAGTTACAGTGCATTAGGGAATGTTTTAGTTATGATTTCTGTGCCAATGAAATTGTCAGAATGAATGCACTGAGTGTGTATAGCTCTTTCTTTAAGAGCTTGACAGAATCAAGGCTAGTAGTCCCTTGTTCTGTTTGGCCTTTAGGACCACAGACATGTTTTAGTTGTTCTTTAAGATGGTTGTCTGAGGTTTTTCTTGAATGCCATATGGATTTTTTTCCTCAACTCCCCCGCCCCCGCTGATAACACAAAATGAAGAGTTAGGAGAATATTTCTTGTGCGGTAGTGTTGTTATCTATCAAGAAATTATGGCTAGTGCAAAATGAGTACACCATGTTTCTTAGTCAATGTTGACTTTAAGGCACCAACTACCAGAGTTTTTGCTGACCTAGAAAAAGATAATAGTATATGTCCTTCAAATGTCCAGGTTCAGAAAGTTGCTAAAAGTACACTGTGTCTGTATGTCTCTTAAACAACTGTGTCTAGTTCTTTGCAAAATATGCTAGTCAATCTGTTTTCCTAAATAGTCTTAAATTCTCTTCTGAGAAATCCTTTCCTCTATGTTGTTCTGTAATGTCTTTTCAAGTATAACCCTCTATGTGACTTTTTTGTAGTTCTTTTATTTTGGAATGGAAACCTGCAATTATATTTATATTGTATTATTTAGAAAATATCAAGAAAATTGGAATGATTGCTTTGACATCCATCCACAAAAAGTAACTGACCTTTCCCTTTCTTTTTGTTTCCTTTTGTTTTCCATTTTCCATTTTCCTTTCCTTTCTTTTTTGCAGTAGGTAATTTTTACGTTGATATTGTTGCTTCCCGTGGAGCTTTATCCATGCCCAAAATACCATTTGCAATCTGAAGCATATCTAAAGTAGATTTAGGATAAAGTTCCTATGTCTGTTTTTTTTCCCCTCCATATTTGCTGTCTGCCAGCTTGTCATTTGAAAGATGGAGGATTTTATCTTTGAATGAAGGTGACCAAGCTGTTATCATTTAGTGTGTTTCTGTTTCATAGGTTGAAGGAGTAGTCTTCCTGAACATATTGCTTGCCATCATTTCATAGCAATGAGTTGCAGCACTTGCTATTGAAAACATGAATTTTGTTAGAAGAAAAAATCAAGCCTTTATTTGCTACTAAATCAAATTACCCAGAATGCATAGTGCTTGAAAATGGGAAAAAAAAATATTGTAATATAGTTAGCTCAAGTCTTAAATTGTGTTATGCTTACTTATTTTGTTTGCAAGACTATCTTCACTACTGTCTTCCTATGTTATTTTGATGGGTGCTGTTTCTGTGTTTGTATAGTATATACATACTTTCTTCCAAGATGTGGTATGGCTCAGTACTACATCTTCTGTGTTAGACATAGATTTTGTGTACTGTGTTTAAGAAAGCCTATAGACCCCATAGCTTAAATAATTGAGAACTATGCAAAAAAACCATTTTCAATTTGTCTACTTCTAAATAAAGAGGAAAAAAATATTGTGGAATACTTTCAAGTCTGATTGTGTATTGGCATATAGGCCTTTAAGAAGGGACATGCTGAACAGAGCTATCTTTGACTTGTAAGTCATTATTAGTGGACAGTAATTATATGCTGGGTTGTGCAAAAAAATCTGCCCTCTTCAGTTTTTATTTACCAGACAACAAATCATATTTTATTTCTAGTTGATGTAGCATGGATCTTTTCTAATACAATGATCAAATAGCAGAAAAGATTGCTGCCATTTCAGTGTTTCTTTTTTACATATCTCCTAGTGTCATTAAAAAAAAAAAGATTTAAAATCATGGTAAGTCTTAATGAACAAAGAAGATGAGAGACATATTTAATAACTATTTGTCAATGACGATAGATTTTATGTAAAGAGTTCCTGTTCTGTGGATTTTCATAGTTAATGTAGTTGCAACCTTAGAAGAATCATTAGTCTTATGGTCCAGGGATACTTTCTCAGTTCAATAGGAAGAAGTAATTCAGTTCACTGTTAATTGCTTTTTCTGAGGTAGAAGACATTTGCTGAAAGAGTGAAAGATGAATTGACTTGGCTAAGACAATGCTAAACTGGTAGAAGAATAAAGATTAATTATAGAAAATACTGTCTTCTGGATTTGTTTTATGATTTTTGGGCCATACTACTTTTGCCATAATTTTAAACAGGATTTTTGTATTACATAGTTCAAAGCACAAGCTAGAAAAATAATTTTAGATTTATGTAACTGGTCTTAAGATACAATGTTTGTGGTAAAACACTAGATTTTACTGGTAAACCAGCTTTGTCTTTAACTGGGTTTGCAGAGGACCTCTGGAAGCCATCTGGTTAAACCCCCGTGCGTCAAGCAGGTGCAGTTAGATCATGGTGCTGAGGCTTGTTCAGCTTTAATATCTTCACAGCTCCTTTGGGCAACTTATTTCACGTGCTTGACCATACTCATGGTCTTATTTATTTATTTATTATTTTTTATGTTCTTAACTGAATTTTTCATCAGTCCACAGCCTGCACTATAGCAAGGGATTATTCTGCCCCAGGTGTAGGACTTCATGTTTGTATCTGTTGAGCCTGAGGTGCTTGTCAGCCTGTTTTTTCCAGTCTATTAGTTCCCTCTAAATAATAGCCCTCCTTTTCAGCATATAACTGTTGTTGTGGGTTAACCCTAGTAGGCAGCTCAGCCCCACACAGCCAGTTGTTCATTCCCCCCCCGCCCAGGTGGGATGGAGGGGAGAATTCAGAAGACTGAAAGTGAGAAAACAGGTGGGTTGAGATAAAGACAGCTTAATAAGGAAGACAAAAGCTGTGCATGCAAGCAAAGCAAACTGTGAACTTCCTGAGTTTTGTTAAAGACATCAAACAGTGTTGGCCCTAATATCAGCCTATGGGGACACTGCTAGCAATCTGCACCCTGGTTGGACTTTTCTATCCACCTTGATGGGAGTGTTTGCTAAAGTCAAGGTATGTGACATCCACTGATTTAACCTTGCCTGCACAGGTAGTCATCTTGTAGAAAGCAATTGTGTTTGTCAGGCATGATTTGCCCTTGGTAAGTCCATGCTGCCATTCCCAATCATCTCCCTATGCTTCTTGTGCTTGAAATAGCTTCCAGGAAGACTTACTTTGTAACCTTCCCCTGGGGCCTAAGGCTAGACTTATGAGCCTGTAGTTTCTCAGATCCTCGTTCTTGAAGACAGGCACTAAAACTGTTTTTCTCTAGTCATCAGGAACCTCCCCCAATTGCTAAATACTTTAGCCTTTGTATGTATGTTGTGTGAAAACCAAATTCTGCCTTAATCTAATGTAAGATATAACAGAAAAATACTAACATTGTGTTCAGACAAAGTTCTTAAGACTTTGGGCGGGAAGCCCGGATGTTTTAGGCTACCGCACATAAGCTAGTTCAGATACTGATCTGTGGGGGAAAAAAAATAAAATCTTGCAGCACTGTTTCCTGCAGGTAGTGTTCCTTGTTAGAGAAGACTATATATTGTAAAAATGCATAGAATGATTTGAAGATAGTTAGGCCCTTGATGTTATCTGAATTTAGAGCAAACACTGTTTAGGGGACCTCTGGACCTGAAGAAACTATGTCAGTAGACTTGGTCTTACATGACATTTTAGACTTGTTTCATTAACTTTTAAGGCCTAAAATGTCTCTAGGGAAGCGTACAGTGGTTGCAATTTTAGAACTTTAAATAAAATGCAGTTGAGTAAAAAGGTGTGTATGTGTCTGGGGTTTTTCTCATTTTTTGTGTTGGTTGTGTTTAGAAAGAGCTGATTCATTTGTATTGCTTCACTTTTAAACTGAAATAGTTGATTAGCAGGGAGAATAGGGGACATAGACTCCTTTTCTTAGTTAAATGTTTATTGTGCTTTCACAAGGTTTGTAAGTTATAATTCAGTTGTCCTTGAGCCCTATGTGGTCCTTGTAGCCTAACCCTCAGCATTGTAACATCTAAGTGGCTCATCTGAGAATAGATTATCTTCCATGAGATGTGATATACTTAGTCTTTAACTTTATCTGCAGGTTTTTGTGTGTAAGAAAATAAGAACCAAATGGTTTTGTTTTTTCTTTTTGTCACATACTTTGGGGTTTGGCATAATAGAGAAAGAAGGTGCCCTTCTTTGAGGTCATTTTATGCTTGAAAATCTATTACATTTTGTTTGGTGTTAACAGTTTTTATCCAAGTTGTAAAACCAGAATTGGAATGTGATTTGGTTTTGAAGTATATTCAAAATTATTGAAAAAGATGCTGCCTTTCCCAATGTAAATTTCTGACAATTTGAAAACCAAGTATTTTATTTGTGCCTTCTCTCTGTTCTTTGCTGTCCTATTTTTTTCAAAGCTGTTGAGATACACATTGGATAAGCACGATCTGCAGCAGGTGAGGATCATAGCCAGCGATAGACTGTGGGAGCCCATTTCCTTTGTCTTGCTGCTTGACTCTGAACTCCATGGAGTGGTCGATGTGATTGGGTAGGGGGTTCTTTTTTTTTCTTGCTTGGTGTTTTGCTCACAGTTTGTTTTCTTGCTTGTTTATAACTAGCACAGACAAAGCTTTACGTACTTTTACTTGCAATAAAGGGGTTGATACTATAATCTTTCTTACTAACCCACATCAAATCACACGGGCTGTTGTCCTGGTGACAGCCTCAAACTTAATTGAATTATGAGTCTCCTATTATATGGAGGATTCCTATTGGTTGTGGTTGCACTTTTGATGAATTGAAGGTTTTTTGAACAACTGTCCTGAGGGTTGTTTTGGTTCCTGTATTTGGTAGCAAGAAGTGCTTTAGCTTTACAGCTTTGTATGCAGCCTTGTATTACTGACTTCCACTGGTCTGTTATAGAAGTAGGTGCTATCCAGAAATGAATTGGGGCTATCATTCCTATTTTAATTCCAATAGTGTCTTCGTTCTTAGTTCCCATTTTGTTTTGAAGGGAAGGTTGTGTTTGAGAAGCATGCAACCAGCAGACTTGTTTTTCTGGTTCTGTGTTTCATCATATGATACTGATATTTTGCAGAAGTTGCAGACTGAATTTGAGATTGATTTCTGACTTGTCTGCTGAATGGAAATGTGTATAAGACTTGCTCATTAACTTGTATTTCTACAATAGCTCTAAATTTTTATTACTAGGTTCTATAGGCTTGCCGGACCCAATCACAGGCTTCAAATGTCGTGGTTCCTCAGTTCAGCTTGAGTCTTTTTCGTTCATCTTTATGTATCTGACTCCCAGGAGGTGTAGAAATTAAAGCTTTCCCTCCAAATATAGATAAGCAGTCCTTGCTGCTCCCCCCACCACCAGGTCAACCCCTCCCCCCATTCTGAACAACAAAAAGTATCCTGACAGTTTTTTTTGTGAATGGAGTCTTGGATCCTGTGTGGATCAAGTGTAAGCAATTGTGAACTCACTCTGGCCAGATGCAAATAAATGTAGTTACTGTGATCCCAACGCAGTTAGCATGCTTCCTTTCTTTTTTTGTCAGCTATGGGCCTGCACCCAGAGTCAGTTCCTGAACCTAATTTTTTTTTTTTTTTTTTTTTTTTTTTTTTATTT